TCTCTCCGCACATAGCACTTGCTTCCCTGTTTCCTCCCATAAGACCCCTTCTCTGTGCACATAGCACTCTTCTTCTTTTATCACATACACACATACAAAAAAAACCCTCAACTATTTATCTATAATGTTTTTCTGCTTTTTGCTAAAATTCAAAGGCTCAATTAGTGTCATACGATCTCTGCGATGAACCATTCTAGTTGAGTGAACAAAAGCTTACTAAAATTTAATGGCAAACTCAGGTATGAGAATGAAGTTATAGAAGATACTATTCTCTTCATTTGAATCTTGGTTTGACTCAGAACATTGTAGGCTGGTTGAGTAAGAGATTGAGGAATCATCATCATTTTTTTTTCCAGGAAGGGTTTCTCTGTGGCTTTGGAGGCTGTCCCGGAACTCGTTGTGTAGACAGGCTGGTCTAAACTCACAGAGATCCACCTGCTTCTGCCTCCCGAGTGCTGGGATTAAAGGCATATGCCACCATTGCCTGGCTAGGAATCATCATTTTAAATGACTACTATTTCTCAAGGGAGAATTGTGCTGTTCTTTAATCTATCTGAATTCCCTAGTGCAGTGGTTCCCAACCTTCCTAATGTTGCAACACTTTAATACAATTCCTTATGTTGTGGTGACCCCAACCATACAACTATTTCATTACTCCTTCATAGCTATATTTTGCTACTGTTATGAATCATATTGTAAGCATTTTGGAAGATAGAAATTTGTTGAGAACCAGTGCCCTAGAGACATTTGCCCCATTATGTATGGCTTCATTAATTACATCACTTTAAGAAATAACTGAGAAAAAAAACACAAATACCTCTGAATTGAAGGTATTTAACCCCACCTTTCACACATTGTAGGTACCCTCCCTTGTCTTCATCCTCCCTCAATCACTCAACCTATCACCACTGATTCAGTTAGTAAAAGTTCTTACTATATGCTGGCCACCCTGCTATCACTTCTAACCCTGGAGGCAGTCTTAGCACTCCACAGCACAGCCTTAAGAATATTTGTGTAAGACACATGTATTACTGAGAAAGAGAACAAAGTCATTGATTTAATGCCAGTGTGTAACGATAAATCTTTCTGCCAGCTGCCCTAGCCCCATCGCCATGTGGTTGACCAAAACACACAGAGATTAATATTAGGTACAATGCTGCTGGCCAATGACTAGGATTTCTTATCTTCAAGATCAGTCTTTATTATCAACCATAACTATTAATCTATATATTTATGAGACTTATAGAGAACAGTCTTCCTGGCAGTTACATGGCGGCTCTTGTCTCTACTAAATTTCCCAGAATCCTCCTTGACTCCTAGACCTGACTAACTTGTTCCCCTATTGGCCAACAGTGCTTTATTCAATAACCAATAAGATAAACATACACAGAAGAACCATGTTGTAACGATAAATCTTCCCACCAAGCCGCCTGAGCCCTGCTGCCAAAAGGGCACCCAAAATAACACACAGAGTCTTATATTAGGTACAATGCTACTGGCCAATGACTAGAATTTCTTAATCTATATATTTTATAAAGACTTATCTGATCAGACGCCAGCCGCAGATGTCTTCTCTTGCTGGGATCACATGGCAGCTCCAGAGCAGAGAGCAGGAGGAAGAATGCAACTTCCTGCTTGTCCCTGCTTATATTCTGAGTGTTCCTGCTATGTCACTTCCTGCCTGGATCACAAGATTTTAATACATTTCCCAGAATCCTCCTTGACTCCTAGTCCCAGCTAACTTGCTGCCTCATTGGCCAAATGGTGATTTATTCAACAACCAACAAGATAAACATACACAGAAGGATGCCTCCCATCAGCAGTGTTCTCATTCCACAGACAGCAGCTTTGCAGTTCTGGGGACCATCCTGCAATTCAAGTTTACCAGTCATAAATTGAGTCCTTCTTTACAGACGTGCATGTGAGTAGATGATGCTAACCTCATGGGGAGTTGGCTGGATGATTAATGGCTGTAGACAGAAGTTTCTGTCCCTCCTGGTCCTACAGCCATTCAGTCTCAAATAAACACACAGAGGCTTGTACTAATTATAAACTGTTTGGCCTATTGCTCAGGCTTATTACTAACAAACTCTTACAACTTAAATTAACCCATAATTCTTATCATGTTTAGTCACATTGCTTGTTACCTTTTCTCAGTATGGCATTCTCATCTAGTGCCCTCTGTGTCTCTGACTTTTCTCTTCCCAGAATACTCATAGTCTGGTAGCCCCACCTATACTTCCTGCCTGGCTACTGGCCAATCAGCATTTTATTAAACCAATATGATTGACAAGTCTTTACAGTCAACAAGAACATTATCCCACATCAAATGGCCTTTGTGTCTGATTTCAAAGGTCCCCAATAACAAAGAAAATGGGATCTTTTTTTATGAAGATTCTGCTACATCTTCCACAGACACTTCCTTGGTTTCTTTCAAACAAAATTAATTTTGGAGTTGAAAAAAGTTTTTTTCCCAGGGAGAGTGCAAATGCAGCCCTCCACTACCACAAATTATACAGTTGAATTTCCCACATTTGGAGAAGTTGCAGGGGCCAGTACATGCAGAGTGAGATGAATAAGTCTTGCCTTGGGAAAACCATCTTCTTGATCACAGTATCTCCCCTGCCAGGTAAGAATAAAATATTCTTTTAAGGATTTACTACATTTAAAAAATATGTTTCTTTTTGGAGGGTCCCAGGAATGGAAAATAGTTAAAATCTCCTGGGTAAACTGGGAGCGTATAGAAGGGAGGGGATCGTGAGGGATTAAGAAGACAGAGTTGGGGGGGGAATGGGGGGCAATGAAAGAGATATCTTAATAGAGGGAGCCATTATGAGGTTAGGGAGAAAAATTCTCAGAAATCTACAAGTATGAACCTAGTAAGACTCCTGGCAGTAATGGAGAGTGTGTCTGAATTGGCCCTCCCCGTTAATCAGATTAGTGACTATCCTAGTTGTCATCATAGAACCTACATCTAGTAAGTGATGGAAGCAGATGCAGTGACACACAGATAAGCACTGGGCTGAGCTTATGGAGTTCAGTTGAAGAGAGGGAGGAGGGATCATATGGGCAAGAGGTGGCAAGACCATGAGGGGGTGAACCACAGAAACAGTTTACCTGAGCTAGTGGAAGCTCATGGACTATGGACTGACAGCTGGAGAACCTGCATGGGACCAAACTAGCTCCTCTGAATGTGGGTGACAGTTATGTGATTTGATCTGTTTGGGGGGCCCTGACAGTGGCACCAAGACCTATTCCAGGGACATGAACTGACCTTTTGGAGCCAATTCTCTATACTGGGGTACCTTGATCATCCTTGATACAGAAGAGAGGGGCTTGGTCCTTCCTCAACTTTGTATGCCAGAATTTTGACTCCCTAAGGAAGGCCTTTCCCCCATGAGGAGTGGATTGGAGGTTGGAAGGGGGGAGATAGGAGGCAGGAGAAGGGAAGGGACAGGGAACTAGGGTTGGTATGTAAAATGCATAGTAAATTTCTTTAAATAAAAATGTGTTTCTTAATTGTATAGTATCTGAGAATAGTTTTTTTCATTATAATTAAGGACAATATTTGTGGCTATCTCTCCAATAATGTCAGCATCTTTGGAGACATTAAAATGGTATCTGTAAATAGTATCTGCCATCAACATTTGTTCTTTATATCAAAAATGGTGAAAAAGTTATGTCAGACAAGGAGATGGTGGATCAGTCCCAAATGTATGGCATGATCTCTAAGTTTGAATGTTTCTGACATTAATTGTCTGTGCTTTGGACATGAGAAACCTCAGTTTCTCATCAGAAATAAGTAGAAACTATATACAGTCATGTGAAAACCATGAAAAAGATGTATAAATGTTAGTGAGATTATTATGTCGCCTTTATTTGATTCTTACTTGTATTTTATGAGTGCTAGGTATGAGCCAGCCTGGGTGAAATTGAGGTCATATGTTCAAAAGAACATTTGAAGTCAACAGCAAGCTGACCTATGGGATTTTAGAGTTGGTGTTGAGGTGGAAGGATTTGTAGCCAGAAATTTTTGGGTTCAAAAATCTCACCTTATTTATCCATATAATCTTGAATTTACTCATATAATCATTTCATCATTTTGAGAATCAAAAAGCTCACACACAGAGAGACACAGAAACACATACATAGACCGTAGTTGTACAATGTCCAACACCCAGTAGGAATTCATTATACACTATGCATATATAATTACCTATCCTTTCTCTCAACCTTTCCTTTCTTTCCTTCTGTAAAAATCAATCAGGGAACAGCTGTAGCAGAACATATAGTAGGGGACAAAGAGGCTGAGAGAGCAGTAGATTCAGCCAGGCAAATTGAAAAAGTTGGTAGGGTAGTGTAACAGTCCATAGTCATCTTAACCAACTTTAAAAGAATACAAAGTCTGAGGGTAAATTTATTTTTCAGTTGATTACCAGTCCCCAGAAGAACCTGCAATATGAGGAAGGGTACAAAATACCACAGGAAGACTTCTTGAACTTCAAACATTCTGGAACTATCTTCTTACAGTATCTCATTCTAAGCTAGTAAACCAATCTAAAAATGAAGAATTAAGTTGTTTTGTTTTGTTTTTTGGTCAAGTTGACACAAACCAGGGTCATCTGTGAAGAGGAGGCCTCCACTGAGAAAATGCCTCCATCAGATTGCATCCATTTTCTTGATTAAGGATTGGTGTTGGAGAGCCCAGCCCATTATGAGCAGTGCTGCACTGGACAGGTGGGTCATAGGAGGTGTAAGGAAGGTAGTTGAACTTGAGTGTAAGAAGGAAGCC